TAGATCATTGTCAGAGTGGCCACTGCGCAACCTTGGCTACTACTAACGTCGACTGTGAGGCAGGTTTTTAGAGATGAGTAACGTTAGCTTGCGTAGCCTATGGCGATGTTCAGCGTGTAAAACAAAAATTGGCTAACTTTCTTATGGGCCATAATTCTAGGCTTATTCGTGATTATTATACATTTTGTTTCATTTGCAGGGTTTGACATGGAAATGTATATTAAACATCTCAATGTGTTGTCATTTCAAACGAGGTAGTGCCAAAGACTGGGGGGCATTCTGTCATCCGAGAAAGTGCTCCTCTGAACTGTCTGTCTACAGCAGCCAACAGAGGATTTACGAGTGTGTTTTTGATTAGCCTTGCTGAGAGAAGGGAAGGAGGAAGACGAAAAAGCCAGTGAAACTTTGCCAGCCCGGATCTAAAGTTTACCAACGCAGACATCCTTGTTAGCTTTTTTTCTCATGGGAACTTGCGTCGAAAAAGTCGGTGACATAGGTGGAATCCCAGTGACCGCGTCACATGGCAGAGCAAGCGCACCTCTGCAGGCACCACGTCACGACTGGTCTCGAGTCACTGCGCTGGCAAAATGCAAATGACAATTGTTTAGAATAACTGACAGCCAAGTATTTTTTAACTGCGGCTTTTTGTATTATATGAAAGGGATCTGGAACGAAGTCATTTGGACTTCTAAAGTCAGAAACAACTTCTAAAAGCCAGGCTTTTTTGACAGCTGTCATCGCAGTCGGTTTCATTATCAGGATACAGCCGTTGGTAAGACTGAGGCAGATGGAAGTGTGGCATTATCTGCTTGCTGGAATGCGGATCCGAGAAATGACCTATATCATGCAGGTTTGTTTGTCATGTAAGTGGGTTGATATTAAATGATTTTGTAGCTTGCAGTTGCCACATACTCACACTTAGATAATCAGTCAGTAAATGCTGTGAGAGAGCCTATGCCCCATGCCATGCGAATGCTCTCTACTCCAACCTGACCTAAATGTTCACTTGCTGATATATATATATTTTTCCTGTATGAACTTGCTGAGGAATTGTGAAGAGAAAAATAGTAGCCTACTGCTATTCTCCTTGGGTTAGATTTTCAGCATGTGGCAAGCATTCCGCCTTTTATAATTCTATAGGAGTATAATAGATATACACTGAGTATACAAAACATTAAGAACTCTTTCCATGACTGACCAGGTGAATCCAGTTGAAAGCTATGATCCCTTATTGATGTCACTTGTTAAATCCACTTCAATCAGTGTAGATGAAGGGGAGGAGACAGGTTAAAGAAGGATTGCTAAGCCGTGAGACAATTGAGACATGGATTGTATATGTGTGCCATTCAGAGGGTGAATGTGCAAGACAAAATATTTAAGTGCCTTTGAACGGGGTATGGTAGTGGGTGCCAGGTGCACCATTTTGTGTCAACAACTGCAACGCTGCTGGGTTTTTCACGCTCAACAGTTTACCGTGTGTATCAAGAATAGTCCACCACCCAAAGGACATCCAGCGAGAGGGGGCTCATGGGTAGGTGTCACTAAGACCCGGAAGAGGTGACATTAATTGGAGAGTGAGAAGGAGGGGTTGTCCAGACGTTTCAACCTCTTGCTTTGACCACCAGATTACATAAAGTGAGGGAAAAAAACAGTTATCAGCTGAACATAACAGTATGTCAGTGGAAGGGAGAACAGTAGCAGGTGACCCAACTGTGGTTTGTGACTGCTATGTAGCCAATTCAAATTCCGGTACCGATTTTTTTTCTCTCCGGAAATTCTGTTACCGATTTTAAGTTTTAATCACTTAATTCATAAACAAAATTGATATCAGTAAAAACACAACTAATTGATAGGTATACCTTTACTTGTTACTTCTGTGAACTTTCATTTTCCTCTCTCATGAGGTCGAGAAATATGAAAATATCTTGAAGATATGTGCAGTTTTGGTAACGGAACTTCAAGGCACGAGTTTCGCCATCAGCTGGAAGACGGTGTCCCTTTTTGGTCAGTGTCAGTGGAGGAAAGGGAGAGCTGAGGGCTGTTGAGAGGCGGACCCTCAGTATGCTGCTCTCTCCCTCCGCTGAGACTGACCATCAGATGCAGGCACCATCAGCCCAGTAAAATAAAAATATAAAGCAAACTATTTAAATTTATGCTCACTCAGCTGTGCTTCACAAGTAATACAACAACGGATCTATTACTGGTGTGATCATATAGCCTATCTCAGAAAGGGATCTTGACTCCGAAAAGGTTGGTGACCACTGTTCTAGAGTTTTCCCTGTTAACACTATCTTCCCTTAACTGTGGCAATTGTGATCGAATCAATGCAATATAAGCCACTTTCAATGCAACATACCGAAACAAAACAAACTATGCAAGAGATTTTGTTATAGGCAGAACGCATCGCAGTAACATTCTATTGCATTGACATGCACTACTCAGTCCGTACTCTACACATACCTGTGCGGCATAAACAATCAGAGTTGCAGTAGGTCTATATGCAAATAGACCATTGCCATATATGGATCTGTGCCATATACATTGAACTGGACTTTGTTTACAGCATGAGCGGTTGTGAGTAGATGCGCTTGTTTTAAGATCAAAGCGAGAGCTCCATGTAGCCACGTGTGTACATTTTGTTCTTGTCCTTTGCTAGTTAGTTAGTTATTAGCCAGTTATAGATCATTTGTAGTCAGCAATAGGGAAGTGATTGCTTCCTACAAGAGCATAAAACGTGTACATTTTTAGACATCTTTGAAAAGCTAGTCAGGTAAAGAGAGTATTTTTGTCTTAAAGGGGCAGTGTTGTATTTTGAGACAGGCTTGAATAAGCTAAGTAGACAATAGAGGGTAGCATAATTTGTCTGATTTTCGGTAATAATGGTATGGGAATAATAATACATTTTATTTTCATGCATCAAACACAACATTTTCAGTCACCTCCTTGTCTGAAGGACAAGTGGATAAATAGGTTAATGTCAAGCCCTGCATGTTTGTTTTCAAAAGTCTTATGGATTGTAGGCCTACTTTGAACGCCACACATTGGCTGCTACTGTAGATTGAATTATATAACTATTTTCATGTTAAAAGGTTATGGGATGCATTTTCCCCATTGTTTTTGATGGTAGGCCACTGGTAGGCCTACATTATGATCAAATAGCCACAGTAGCCTACATGGCCGATGTTAAAACTGTAACTTAAAGCGGGTACAGCCTCAGTGTTCACAGTAAACGCGCGCTGGAAGTTGCACAGACTTTTCACACCGATCAACAGACCTGAAAATTGCTCAGTGCCCAAAAAAATGTGAGGGAACATTGGTTGGCAGGGGTCTGTACTTCAACCTTATTGTGTTTTGATACATTTCTAATACCTTTTTAAAAGTGGCAATCAGCAGTTGAAAAAATAACAACACATTTTCACCGCCCCTGTTTCTGTATTAAGTTGAGGGATTGGGCTGGAGCAATGTAACCCCTCTCAAATTCATAGACAGACATAGGGCTGCAAGGACTCACCGTCAATTATATCCAAATTATAGTTTTATCCATGTTTTGAGGCTATACAGTGTTTGTTTTACATTTACTTTGTTTACAAACATTGGACATACTGTATCTACCTCAAATACCTCGTACCCCTTGACTTTTTCCACATTTTGTTACGTTACAGCCTTATTCTAAAATAGATTAAAGAAAAACATTTCCTCAGCAATCTAAACACAATACCTCATAATGACAAAGCCAATACAGGTTTTTATAAATTTTTGCAAATGTATTAAAAATAAAAACAGAAATGCCATATTTACATAAGTATTCAGACCCTTTGCTATGAGACTCGAAATTGAGCTCAGGTGCATCCTGTTTCCATTGCTCATCCTTGAGATGTTTCTACAACTTGATTGGACTCCACCTGTGGTAAATTCAATTGATTGGACATGATTTGGAAAGGCTCACACCTGTCTATATAAGGTCCCACAGTTGACAGTGCATGTCAGAGCAAAAACCAAGCCGTGAGGTTGAAGGATTGTGTCGAGGCACAGATCTGGGGAAGGGTACTAAAAAATGTCTGCAGCATTGAAGGTCCCCAAGAACCAACACTCTTCCTAGAGCTGGCCGCCCAGCCAAACTGAGCAATCAGGGGAGAAGGGCCTTGGTCAGGGAGGTGACCAAGAACCTGATGGTCACTCAGACAGAGCTCCAGAGTTCCTCTATGGAGATGGGAGAACCTTCCAGAAGGACAACCATCTCTGCAGCACTCCACCAATCAGGCCTATATGGTAGAGTGGCCAGATGAAGCCACTCCTCAGTAAAAGGCACATGACAGCCCGCTTGGAGTTTGCCAAAAGGCACCTAAAGGACTGAGAACATGAGAAACAAGATTCTCTGGTCTGATGAAACCAAGATTGAACTCTTTTTGGCCTGAATGCCAAGCGTCACGTCTGGAGGAAACCTGGCACCATCCCTGCGGTGAAGCATGGTGGTGGCAGCATCATGCTGTGTGGATGTTTTTCAGCGGCAGGGACTGGGAGACTAGTCAGGATCGAGGGAAAGATGAACGGAGCTAAGTACAGAGAAATCCTTGATGGAAACCTGCTCCACAGCGCTCAGGACCTCAGACTGGGGCAAAGGTTCACCTTCCAACAGGACAACGACCCTAAGCACACAGCCAAGACAATGCAGGAGTGGCTTCGGGACAAGTCTTTGAATGTCCTTGAGTGGCCGAGCCAGAGCTCGGACTTGTGGCTTAACTACATTCCATCAGCACCTCACCCTTTACAATAAACAATGTTCAGAAGAAGAGTGCATGGAAGTGAAAGCTTAGGTCAGTGGGTGGAGAGACAACACCGACAACACCTGTCACGCAAATATTTAACAATGCTCATTAGTCTCTCAAACAGAATTTCTGTAAAAACCAATGCCTGTTACAAGTGCTTATAGAACAGCCACTTGTTACTACATTATAAAACATCTCCAGGGAAACCTATTTCTTCCCCCTCTCTTCCTCCCTCAGGTTGCTCTCTAGTCTGCCAGGGCAGTAGAGGGTCAGGGGGAGTGTCATGTTGAAGCTGCTCTTCCACATAGTGCTGGTGTTGACCTGTCTTCACCCTTCACCTCACCTCCCTCCCCACATAACCTAACTCCAGCTGCTCTCAGTCTCCACCCTCTTTCACCACTTGGCCAGGAGAAAGGTAAATATAGATCCCCGGGACCACCCATACACAAAAAAATATATATATATGTACGCATGACTGTAAGTCGCTTTGGATAAAAGCGTCTGCTAAATGGCATATTAATAATATACTGTACTGTAAAAGATTGTGACCTTAACGCAAGCAATTGCATTTGATCACCTGTCTGACTCTTTTTCCTGAAATGATACAATGTGTACAATCGCCTTAGCTGGGATTTACATTAGAGGTTGCCCTATTGCCTGGGGTAAGTGAACTGAACATTCACGCAAGTTGAACCTGCTCTGAGGTTGCCTCATTGGGCAGGTGATTGTGTTTTTAAAGAAGTGAAAACCACCAAACCTCAAAGAATTCCAGTAGCCTAAAACCGATCTTTCTTCTTCCTCCACATTGTTTAAGTGAAAGACAGACAATTTATAGCAGTCAGAGCCTGCTCTGAGATTTTGTTTACTGAAAACAACCAAAATACAAAGACTTTCTGTACTGATCTTTCTGATGCCTCCCCTATGTTTAGGTGAAAGGCAGGCAGTATATGGCACTTCTGCGTCGAAATAGCTCATTTACACTTTCGGGCAACCAAAAATACTCCTGACTTGCCCGATGGGCAACTGCCTTTCAGACTTTAAACGTCAATACCTGCTGAGTGCCTGGTTCGTGCCAGTGTTGAATTACATCAAGGTGGTGTAATGTTGTAGCCTGGAAATCCAGACTGAAGCATGCTACGCTTCACTATTGTTTCACTATTGAGTGGAATTTGGTCTGGATTTCCAGGCTAGTAATGTTGTACAATCCTGACAACTGTTTCTGTTCTGTCCAGGTTGTTGGTCCTCGTGGAAAATGTCCTATGCATATCAGAACCTGTTTAGCTGGAGTCGACCTCGATTGACACAGCCATATCTCCTCTTCCTATCACTGGGCTTCTTTTGCTGCTTAGTTGCTCCCACAGGTAAAATGCACCAATACATTTCTCTGGAATTATTCATGGTGTCATGATTGTCCAGGATGTAAGAATGAATGAGATCTATTCATTGATTTGATTATTATATTATTGTACTTACCATACACTTTATCGAATCTAAGACATTGCAACATGAATACCATTGTCAAACAATAGATGAATGCCTTTACTAAATCGGTTGTGTCTTAAGGCGTCTGCATGCTTCCCAGCCGAAACAGTTAGGTAGAGTTTGTGCATACATTATACAACATTTTGTGACGTTTTTGTTCATTTTGGACTTCGGTGAGGTTTTTTTCCGGCGGTTCGGGCACACAACATATTTTGGGGAGGCTAGCCGAAGTTCAGAGCTGAAGTCTACGCCCCTTCGTTGTTGATTGGTCAACAGTAGGGATTCTTCAATAAAGTCTTTGTTGTCATTGAACAAGAGACGATTCTCTGTCATGCAAATTTGTTCATTTAAAAATACTTAGTTAAATGTAAAATTGCGGGACTAACATGCTGACTAGACCGGGCACTTACGTGCGCCCGCCATCTCGCACATGTTGATTTTGTCCATCTACACCAGACGCGATCAGGACAGGAAGGTTGAAATATACAAATAAAAAAACTCTGAACCAACTATATTAATTTGAGGACAGGTCGAAAAGCATGAAACATTCATGGCCATTGCAAAAGTATTCACCCCCCTTGGCATTTTTCCTATTTTGTTGCCTTACAACCTGGAATTAAAATTGATTTTTTGGGGGGTTTGTATCATTTGATTTACACAACATGCCTACCACTTTGAAGATGCAAAATATTTTTTCTTGTGAAACAAACAAGAAATAAGACCAAAAAAAAGAACCTGAGCGTGCATAACTATTCACCCCCCACAAAGTCAATACTTTGTAGAGCCACCTTTTGCAGCAATTACAGCTGCAAGTCTCTTGGGGTATGTCTCTATAAGCTTGGCACATCTAGCCACTGGGATTTTTGCCCATTCTTCAAGGCAAAACTGCTCCAGCTCCTTCAAGTTGGATGGGTTCCGCTGGTGTACAGCAATCTTTAAGTCATATCACAGATTCTCAATTGGATTGACGTCTGGGCTTTGACTAGGCCAATCGAAGACATTGAAATGTTTCCCCTTAAACCACTAGAGTGTTGCTTTAGCAGTATGCTTAGGATCATTGTCCTGCTGGAAGGTGAACCTCCGTCCCAGTCTCAAATCTCTGGAAGACTGAAACAGGTTTCCCTCAGGAATTTCCCTGTATTTAGTGCCATCCATCATTCCTTCAATTCTGACCAGTTTCCCAGTCCCTGCTGATGAAAAACATCCCCACAGCAGGATGCTGCCACCACCATGCTTCAATGTGGGGAAGATGTTCTCGGGTGATGAGAGGTGTTGGGTTTGCGCCAGACATAGCATTTTCCTTGATGGCCCAAAATCTCAATTTTAGTCTCATCTGACCAGAGTACCTTCTTCCATATGTTTAGGGAGTCTCCCACATGCCTTTTGGCGAACACCAAACATGTTTGCTTATTTTTTTCTTTAAGCAATGGCTTTTTTCTGGCCACTCTTCCGTAAAGCCCAGCTCTGTGGAGTGTACGGTTTAAAGTGGTCCTATGGACAGATACTCCAGTCTCTGCTGTGGAGCTTTGCAGCTCCTTCAGGGTTATCTTTGGTCTCTTTGTTGCCTCTCTGATTAATGCCCTCCTTGCCTGGTCCGTGAGTTTTGGTGGGCGGCCCTCTCTTTGTAGGTTTGTTGTGGTGCCATATTCTTTCCATTTTTTAAATAATGGATTTAATGGTGCTCCGTGGGATGTTCAAAGTTTTGGATATTTTTTTATAACCCAACCCTGATCTGTACTTCTCCACAACTTTGTCCCTGACCTGTTTGGAGAGCTCCTTGGCCTTCATTGTGCCGCCTGCTTGGTGGTGCCCCTTGCTTAGTGGTGTTGCAGACTCTGGGGCCTTTACATTTACATTTACGTCATTTAGCAGACGCTCTTATCCAGAGCGACTTACAAATTGGCACATCTAGCCACTGGGATTCAGAACAGGTGTATATATATATATATATATATATATATATATATATATATATATATATATATATATATATATATATATATACTGAGATCATGTGACAGATCATGTGACACTTAGATTGCACACAGGTGGACTTTATTTAACTAATTATGTGACTTCTGAAGGTAATTGGTTGCACCAGATCTTATTTAGGGGCTTCATAGCAAAGGGGGTGAATACATATGCACGTACCAATTTTCCGTTATTTTTTGTCATTTCACTTCAGCAATTTGGACTATTTTGTGTATGTCCATTACATGAAATCCAAATAAAAATCCATTTAAATTACAGGTTGTAATGCAACAAAATAGGAAAAACGCGAATGGGGATGAATACTTTTGCAAGGCACTGTAGCTAGCTTGCTGTTGCTAGCTAATTTGTCCTGGGATATAAATATTGTTTTTTAAAATCAGAAATGCACAAGGTCCTCTACTCTGACAATTAATCCACAGATAAAAGGGTACATTTAGTTAGTTTCTAGTAATCTCTCCATGTATGTACATTTATTTTGCAACACTCGCGCACGTGACGTGAGCGGTGTGGTCAGCATGTAAGATCTCCTCAGCAAAAATTAATGACAGATTTATTGAGTTATCTTAAATTACTTCTGACTATTTTGAGAAATGTATACTTGGACAAACAGTACTATTGTGCTTTTTTGTAGTTTCTCAAGCGAAGTTCTTTTAAGGGAGTATGCGAGCACACTGGTTCGGTTCGCCTAGCCGATTTCGGCTAGACACCAGCCGAACTGAAGCATGCTGTGTGTTTATCGGGTTGTTAGTAATTGTTATACTGCCTGTTGTTCTGAGGTGTGTATGCATATTTCGGTGGTGGCTCCACTCCGAATGGCTGTTTCTACAGTGTGGGTGAGTGATGCCACAAGGCCTGGTGAGTTACAATGTAGGCCGGACAAAGGGGCCTCTGTGAGTCAGTGTCGATTGGGTAGGGGGGGGAATGACTAAACAGAGGCAAAAGGGTCCAAGCAGTGTTACAGGAAGTTGAAGTTACACCCACATCCCATAATATTCAGCTCAGGAGCGTCTATAGCTAAGGCAACAATAGCCATGGGAATAGGTGCGCTGTCACAGAGTGTCTGAGTTGGTGATGGTTGGTGCCATGTCTTGTCTAGAGACACATCACATTTATTTATAAAGCCCTTTTTACATCAGCAGATGTCACAAAGTGCTTATACAGAAACCCAGCAATGCAGATGTACATTAGAAGCACGGTGGCTAGGAAAAACTCCCTAGAAAGGCAGGAACCTAGGAAGAAACCTAGAGAGGAAGCAGGCTCTGAGGGATGGCCAGGGTGGAGATTATAAGAGTACATGGCCATTAAGGAGAAGAGAGAGAGAGAGAGAGAGAGAGAGAGAGAGAGAGAGAGAGAGAGAAGAGAGAGAGAGAGAGAGAGAGAGAGAGAGAGAGAGAGAGAGAGAGAGATAGAGGAAGCGCTAGAATACTACTCAGAATCGATACTAGATCTCGATATGAGAGAGATCAGGAAGTGAGAGCACTCGGAGAGAGAGAGAGAGACTCTCTCACATGGATAGGCAGACCATTCCATAAATATTTAGCTCTATAGGACAAAGCCCTGCCTCCAGCTGTCTTTTGACTGTAGTGTAGGTATGTATGGTAGGACCAAATCGGAGAGATAGGTAGGAGTCCATGCAATACTTTGTAGGTTAGCTGTAAAACCTTGAAATCAGCCCTAGCCTTAACAGGAAGCCTGTGTAGAGAGCCTAGCACTGGAGTAATGTGATCAAATGTTTTGTTCTAGTCAAGATTCTAACAGCCGTATTTAGCACTAATTGAAGTTTCTTTATTTAGAGCATTACAGTAGTCTAATCTAGAAGTGACAAAAGCATGGATGAGGTTTTCTGCCTCATTTTTGGACCAAACGTTTCTGATTTTTGCAATGTTACGAAGATGGAAAAAAGCTGCCCTGATCAGGGTCCAGAGTAACTTTGAGGTCCGTCACAGTTTTATTTGAGACGACTGTACAACCATCAAGATTAGTTGTCAGATCAAACAGCAGATCTCTTCGTTTCTTGGGACCTAGAACTAGCATCTCTGTTTTGACTGAGTTAGTAAAACGTTTGCCACCATCCACTTCCTTATGTCTGAAACACAGGCTTCCAGGGTAGGCAATTTTGGGACTTCACCATGTTTCTTCTAAATGTACAGCTGTGTGTCATCGTAGCAGTGAAAGTTGACATTGTGACCTTGGTGATAATGTTACTTTTGACCTTGGTGATAATGTAGCCTAATCACTGTCTTTTGTCAAGGAAAGGCCTCGTTTCCCTTTACCGCTGTGACTTGGTTGAACAGTTGAGCTTCATGCATGTCTGGAGTGTTACTGTATGTTAAGAGATTGCATTTGCGAGGTACATATGGCTATAGAAAGATGACATAGTAGGCTAAAGCTTGTTACAAGTTGAAAATGGTATTATCAATAAAGCAACATCCATGACCTAAGTCAGTGGGGCGTAAAACCAGTGTCAGCTGCTTTTCTCATCTACCTAGCACATTAGTGATTGCTCTCAGACTGCACGCACCTGGCTTCCCGGAGCTAAGAAATAAGGAACTAAAACCAACACACTCAGGGTCCCATTTATCCACCGAAATTACCCATCCTTGGCCCAGATGGCAAAGTCTGATCACATCCTCTTTATACACACTCTATAACAACTCTCTTTCCCTCTCCAGGTGTATCTGCCGAGATCTGCAGGGTGACGGGGGGAGTGTTGGGGATCCACTGGAGCAGCGTGGTCGGTTTAGGCTGGCGCCCCCTGGCCGTGGGGAGGGGTGGCGGCAGCTGCTGGGAGTCCTGCTGCCAAGAGCCAGCCTGCAGCGCCGTCTGGAGCCTGGGGGGGCGCTGTGTGCTGCTGAACTGCTCAAACAGAGGGGTCTGTCAAGTCACGTCTCTCCCCCAGCCCCACATCGAGTCCCTGGGGCTCCTGCAGCTGCTTTCAAAGGGCACCACCACAGCTCGGACGAGAAGGCTCAGGCAGGCACCAACAGGAAAGGGAAGTGAGGCCGTAATCCAGAAATATGGGTCGGACCACCAACATTCTAGCACTGTGAGTCAACGGCATGTTACTGTTCTGTAGTTGAGTCATTAATGCCTGTTTACCTCCATTCTTCCTTCCAGGATCACTGGGACGGAGTAGATGAAAGCAAATACTAAATACCCTCATATAAAGTTATACATTTACATTTACATTTTAGTCATTTAGCAGACGCTCTTATCCAGAGCGACTTACAGTTAGTGAATACATTTTTTTTTATATACTGGCCCCCCGTGGGACTCGAACCCACAACCCTGGCGTTGCAAACACCATGCTCTATCAACTGAGCTACATCCCTGCCGGCCATTCCCTCCCCTACCCTGGACAACGCTGGGCCAATTGTGCGCCGCCCATGAGTCTCCCGGTCGCGGCCGGCTGCGACAGAGCCTGGATTTGAACCAGGATCTCTAGTGGCACAGTTAGCACTGCGATGCAGTGCCTTAGACCACTGCACCACTCAGGAGACTATACTTATACATGCATGACAACCTAACTTATGTGTTATTGTATATTATGCAATCTCTTAACTGCAGTGGTTACTTTGTGAAGGATATTGAAGACTGTACAATGTAGCCAATGTCTTTAGTAATCTTCCCATTCTCATCTGAAGTTCATCCATATCTTGGCAGGGGGTTTCCAAGGATGCAGAGCATCCAGCTCCAACAGTTGGCATCACCAGTGGAGTAGCTCTCCCTCAAACATCTGATAAGAATCACAGCCAGTTAACCAATGGAGGAGGAGAAGCTCCATCACCCTCACAACAGAACTCTACATCAGAGGACACCATAGACACAGCATCTTCCAACAGCAGCTCTGTGCTTCCCACTACTGATCCTACAATCGCTACATCACCAACCCAGGCTGGTAAGGCAGTGGACACAAAACTCTGACTTAGTATCCCTCAAAACCCACCCTCAAAAACTTTTTGGTTAATAACATACTAATAACAAAATTGATGTGTTGAGGTATGTATTCATGGCAGGAAAAGCATGTAGCTCTAAACATCTACTCCCGTTCATAAACTGGCACCCACTGCAGATTTATATCTACTGTTGGCACTTTGAATTAACTGCTGTTTCAGTGCTCCGCCCTCCATTTTAGTCCATGTAACTCCTGTGGTTTTCATGACAGTCCGGGAGTTGGTGGTGTCGGCAGGCGAGAGCGTGGAGGTCACACTGCCGCGCAACGAGGTGGAACTCAATGCCTTTGTGGTGCCAGCGCCCCAGCCAGGTATCGCTACTCAACCTACCTGTATTATTACTTTGTTTTACTGTATCATACACCTGTATTATACACACCCACTGTAGTCCACATCTCACCCTAATACTATATAAGCTTATCTGTTTAAGTTGGCATGACAACGACAAAGGAGTGAGCTAATGCAGAAAACAGCCTGGTACTAAGGATAGCTTTGTATCCATGCATGTCATTACTCATGGCTTACATCCTCGGCTTTGAGTCACCTCTCTCTTTTCCACTTCTCGAAAGGGACCAACTATGCATTTGACTGGCTCTTGAGAACTCATCCCAAAGACTACAGTGGAGAGATGGAGGGGAAGCACAGCAAGACGCTCAAACTCAGCAAGGTACAGCTACTTGAATTAGTTCAACCATTACCTCTCTCTCATAACTCTTTCTCTATTTCTCTCTCTGTTCAAACCCAGGCCTCTTAATTGAGATTGAATTTATGACTAGAGACATTTATACAGTACTGTAATACTATGAGAAACAATTCCTATAGTATTCACTATAATTCAACCTCTCTCTGGCTCTTGTTCCTATGTTCAGCTGACAGTGGGGCTGTATGAGTTTGAGGTGACGGTGGACGGTGACGGAGCACACGGAGAGGGCTATGTCAACGTAACAGTCAAACCAGGTGGGGGTTAAACTAACATGACTTGTATTGACTGTGTTTGATATACTCTTTGGTAGGAACATGTGTAAACTGTAACATATTAAAGGGCACCTCCCCTGACTCTCCCATTAATGGGCTTATACAGAAATGTTGACGATGACTCATACCTGGGTCGTGTTCATTAGAACCAAACGGAAGATAACAGACTGAAACAGGGATGGATTACCTGGAGTTGTCCAATAAGAAATGCTCATTTTTGTTTCCCATTGCAAAACGTTTTGCTACGTGTTCTCTAATGAACACGACCCAGCTGTACCGTTCAGCCAATTAGCTAACCTCTTCCACTTCACAGAGCCGCGGGTAAACAAGCTGCCTGTCGCTGTGGTTTCCCCAATGTTCCAGGAGATATCCTTGCCAACCAGCTCCACGGTGATCGATGGCAGCCGTGAGTAGTTGTTTCCTGACAACTAGACAGTATAGCTCTACTACCGTACATTTAAATTATAGCTTGATAATTTTAGGTCAAGAACCGGTATTTTCCCTAGAATGCTAGATGTTTATCTTCAGTTTGGTGCAAAGGCCCTCCAAACAACACCCTGGTCAGTTTTTACATAATCAGCTTACATAAAACAATGGAAGACAACCTTTGTAGTCAGGGTTGAGACGGGGGCGAAAGTATAGGCACAGTGTCCTATACATCTAACCAGTTATTTTCCTCTTCTTCCTATCCTGTCTTCCTCCTCTCCCTGTGTGCGGCCCCTCAGAGAGCACAGATGATGACAAGGTGGTTGCGTGGCACTGGGAGGAGGTGAAGGGCCCACTGAGGGAGGAGAAGGTCTCGGCAGACACTCAAATCCTCACCCTCACCGGCCTGGTCCCAGGGAACTACACCTTCAGGTACTTTTACCGTGTCTTCTCAATGGGCATGTGGCACTTTATAGTTTCTCTACATATTGCATACACTTTCATTACCTAGTACCTACGGTTTTGTACACCTACAGGCACTGTTTGTTACCTTGTCTTCTCCATGGGCCTGCACCATCTTGTATTTTCTCTACATATTGCTTTATATACCTTGAGGTACCTCTTTCTTGTTTTTTCTATGGGAATGCTCTATCATGTATTCCCCTTGTATTCTCCTTTCATCTCTTACTTCTTACCGGCCCTACCTGCAAGATACTCAGATTTGCATCTCAGATTTGCCTAGCAGAATACCAAGCAGTTAGGGGTTGGTTTAGAATTAAGCATAAGTGTTAAATCAAAACTTTCCTCCCCCATCCTTCAATATTACACCTCTACTTCACCTTCAGACAAATGAGTTGGTATGTTTGAGTTTGTCGTTTCTTCATTTGTCCCCCATTTTGTCCCCTTTAGTCTGACGGTTACTGACTCGGACGGGGCCCAGAGCGCCACCCAGGCCATGCTGTCGGTCAACAAGGCCATGGACTACCGGCCGGTGGCCAACGCCGGGCCCAACCAGGTCATCACGCTACCGCGCAATGCAGTCACGCTGCATGGCAACCAGAGCGCGGACGACCACGAGCCGCTGGCCTACGAGTGGTCGCTCAGCCCAGAGAGCAAAGGCAAGGTGGTGGAGATGCAGGTGAGAGAGGAGCACCAGGGCCGGCTTCAGTTTGTTAGGGACCATGCACAGGTCTTACCTAGCAATCAAGGGGATTCTTTTTATTTAAAAAAATTTTTTTAAATACACTGCTCAAAATAATTAAGGGAACACTAAAATAACACATCCTAGATCTGAATGAATGAAATAATCTTATTAAATACTTTTTTCTTTACCTAGTTGAATGTGCTGACAACAAAATCACACAAAAATTATCAATGGAAATCAAATTTATCAACCCATGAAGGTCTGGATTTGGAGTCACCCTCAAAATTAAAGTGGAAAACTACACTACAGGCTGATCCAACTTTGATGTAATGTCCTTAAAACAAGTCAAAATGAGGCTCAGTAGTGTGTGTGGCCTCCACGTGCCTGTATGACCTCCCTACAACGCCTGGGCATGCTCCTGATGAGGTGGCGGATGGTCTCCTGAGGGATCTCCTCCCAGACCTGGACTAAAGCATCCGCCAACTCCTGGACAGTCTGTGGTGCAACGTGGCGTTGGTGGATGGAGCGAGACATGATGTCCCAGATGTGCTCAATTGGATTCAGGTCTGGGGAACGGGCGGTCCATAGCATCAATGCCTTCCTCTTGCAGGAACTGCTGACACACTCCAGCCACATGAGGTCTAGCATTGTCTTGCATTAGGAGGAACCCAGGGCCAACCGCACCAGCATATGGTCTCACAAGGGGTCTGAGGATCTCATCTCGGTACCTAATGGCAGTCAGGCTACCTCTGGCGAGCACATGGAGGGCTGTGCGGCCCCCCAAAGAAATGCCACCCCACACCATGACTGACCCACCGCCAAACCGGTCATGCTGGAGGATGTTGCAGGCAGCAGAACGTTCTCCACGGCGTCTCCAGACTCTGTCACGTGCTCAGTGTGAACCTGCTTTCATCTGTGAAGAGCACAGGGCGCCAGTGGCGAATTTGCCAATCTTGGTGTTCTCTGGCAAATGCCAAACGTCCTGCACGGTGTTGGGCTGTAAGCACAACCCCCACCTGTGGACGTCGGGCTCTCATACCACCCTCATGGAGTCTGTTTCTGACCGTTTGAGCAGACACATGCACATTTGTGGCTTGCTGGAGGTCATTTTGCAGGGCTCTGGCAGTGCTCCTCCTGCTCCTCCTTGCACAAAGGCGGAGGTAGCAGTCCTGCTGCTGGGTTGTTGCCCTCCTACGGCCTCCTCCACGTCTCCTGATGTACTGGCCTGTCTCCTGTTAGCGCCTCCATGCTCTGGACACTACGCTGACAGACACAGCAAACCTTCTTGCCACAGCTCGCATTGATGTGCCATCCTGGATGAGCTGCACTACCTGAGCCACTTGTGTGGGTTGTAGACTCCGTCTCATGCTACCACTAGAGTGAAAGCACCGCCAGCATTCAAAAGTGACCAAAACATCAGCCAGGAAGCATAGGAACTGAGAAGTGGTCTGTGGTCAACACCTGCAAAACCAGTCCTTTATTGGGAGTGTCTTGCTAATTGCCTATAATTTCCACCTGTTGTCTATTCCATTTGCACAACAGCATGTGACATTTATTGTCAATCAGTGTTGCTTCCTAAGTGGACAGTTTGATTTCACAGAAGTGTGATTGACTTGGAGTTAAATTGTGTTGTTTAAGTGTTCCCTTTATTTTTTTGAGAATTGTATATTTTCCCCATGATAGCCTTATTGTGGCAATTTTTGTTTGAAGGTGGAAATACTTTGTTTCGGCACCAACAAAAAAAGGGAAATTCTTCTCTTCCATCTTGACAGTATTCTCTTCGTCCTATAGGGCGTTCGGACTCCCACTCTGCAGCTATCTGCCATGCAGGAAGGAGACTACACCTTCCAGCTCACTGTCACAGACACAGCCGGACAGCAGGACACAGCACAGGTCACTGTTATCGTCCAGCCAGGTAAACCAGCAGCACATAGATAATGTGTATCTATGGCCAATGTCAACACCACTGCTATTGTGTCACTTCAATGAATGTATGTTGGCTTAACCTTGTTGAGACTTACATTGGGAATAGCATAAAGAGAAATGTATGGACAATTCTGTTACCTCCCTTGTGTGATCTTGTAATTGCGTGAATATCATGCCTGATTTACATGAAATAAGCCACACATATTTTCTCTAATTCTTGCTATTATGCTATTATATAACATATCTGAATGGATGTTGGTTTAACCTTGATGAAACATACATTGAGAATAAAGACAGACAAAACTAGCATAGTTCTGTACATGAAAATACAGTTATATACGGATATTGTCCTCGTAGCATGTCACCAAAGTCTATGTTCTCCTAAGCCTGCATGTGTTCCATCCTCCTCAGAGAACAATAAGCCCCCAGTAGCAGACACCGGCCCGGAGAAGGAGCTGACCCTGCCTGTGGACCGCACCACTCTAGACGGCAGCAAGAGCACGGACGACCAGAATATCTCCACCTACCACTGGAAACAGAGCAAGTCAGTATTCACACACGTATGCACAGACAGACAGACACAACATGCACATAGACGACACGCACACACACTCAACGACATGCATGCTCACTTTTGAGCACACACACTCACTTTCTTTCTTTCACACACACACACACACACACACATACGCACCGACTCCCAAATTCACACACAGTACCCTTTGGCAAATTACACACTCCTTATTCTCTGTGCATGAGAGTGACACTTAGTTCAACTACCAGAAGCAATATGGTGAGTGGAGATGACACTTTGGAGCACTCTTCTCTTCCATCTCTCATGTTATATGGCACAGTTCAGTGCTATGTGCTGACTGCTGATAGTGGAACTGCTGTTTCTCCACCTTTCTGATTCTGTGATGGTCTGTCTGTCTCTTCTCAGGGGTCCGGACGGAGTGAAGATCGAGAACGCCGATGGCGCCATTGCCACGGTGACGGGGCTGCAAGTAGGCGAGTACGAGTTCAGTCTGACTGTGACGGACGAGAGGAAACTGGCGAGCACTGACACGGTCACGGTCATCGTCCGACAGGGTAACTGTCCTGTGTGTGTGTTTTTTGTTTAAATTCTCTTTCCTGATTTCGTAAGAGTAGGTTTTTCCTTAGCCTCATTTATTTCTGGGTGCTGAGATGAGTTTTTACCTGACAAACACAGTTATTGTTTGAGTTTGCAAGAAAGGCATTTCACTGTACTTGTGCATGTGGCATTAAAAACGTGAAACTTGATTAATATAGAATTGCTTACAAAGAAATGTATCAGAGACAGAACTCTTTTAAGCTTTCAAAAACAGGCTAGACGATGTAATGGTCTCACACAAGACGCACTCAACTATTTAGGCAACTGTCAACTGAAGTCAAGCCGAGCTGAATGTCAATACTCTTTGAAGGATAACTAAAGCATAACTCACACACCTATATTATTACCAGGTGCATGGAGAGAAACCGCATACTGAGTATTTCAGAATACTCTTTGGCACTGCAATGTCCTTAAATATGTATTGTCTTCTCTCGACCAGAGTTAGACCAACCCCCAGTAGCCCATGTCCAGTCCAGCCCGGCCATCTCTCTGCCCCTGCGGACTGCAACCCTGGATGGCTCCCACTCCACAGACGACAAGGGCGGAGTCGGCTACTTGTGGACCCGTGACGACAGTAGTCCTGCAGCAGGGGTGAGAGACAGAGTCCACTCCGTGGTACTATAACGGATAACAGAAATATTTACAGAAAATATTATGAAGTATTAGGGGAGCTGTGGCAGACAAATACAATGTACCTATAGTAAGTAAACAGAAAAATACAATATAGTATACATTTCCCTCTTGTTGTTGTATTAGGTAAAAGCGTTCTTATTTTACATTTACATCATTTAGCAGACGCTCTTATCCAGAGCGACTTACAAATTGGTGCATTCAACTTATGATAGCCAGTGGGACAACCACCTTTTATAAATTTATTTTTATTTTTATGGGGGGTGGGGGAAGAAGGATTACTTTATACTATTCCAGGTATTCTTTAAAGAGGTAGTGTTTCAAGTGTCTCCGGAAGGTGGTCAGTGACTCCGCTGTCCTGGTGTCGTGGGGGAGCTTGTTCCACCATTGGGGTGCCAGGGCAGCGAATAGGTTTGACTGGGCTGAGCGGGAACTGTGCTTCCGTAGAGGTAGGGGAGCTAGCAGGCCAGAGGTGGATGAATGTAGTGCCCTCGTTTGGGTGTACGGTCTGATCAGAGCCTTAATTACGCTCTTGCATTTCTCATGATAAATATTCTGCTTAATAATATTTGCATACAATGACCTACTACTGGAAATATTTGGAATAAGAATGTGTTCTGGTCAGATTCCAGTTTTTCCACTTTTCTTTTTGCAGTAGTGTAGGCCATTGCATGCAGCTCGAAAATACAACGTTCTGCTATTATAACATAATTCAATGTCTTATTCAGACTTTGAATTTAAGAAATGTGTCATCAGCATAAGACAAAATATCATTGTAGTTGATCAAATACAAATAAAATGCATCTTGTATGAAGAATTGTGTTGTCTGTCCCTCAGGATGTACTGAACAACTCTGACCACCAGGCGGTGCTGTTTCTCACTAACCTGGTGGAGGGAAAGTACAGCTTCACTTTGACTGTGACAGACAGCAAGGGCCAGAGCAGCTCAGACAGAGGGACTGTAGAGGTCAAACCAGGTCAGTGGGCTCCTTATGGACTACATACACACAAACACAAATGCCCAGTGCAAAATCAACCCCTAGACACTTGGTCTGAAAGAATCAAATGGATGTAGCTATACCTACAGCTAGCTTTTTGGTACACTAGGGTTCTTTTCCATCATATTCCTAATACCCAATCCATTCAGATCTATGGGAAGTAGGAGCAATAATCTATGAATAACACACACAAACACACACACACACAGCAGAAATGGCACCTACACACACTATCATTATCCCAATGTCTTCTTCTCTCACTCACTCTGTCCTCCTCCCTCTCTTTCCTGTCAGACGTTTGGCAGCGTGACCTGGTGGAGCTGGTGCTGGAGGTGTCTGTGTCCCAGGTGTCCCACCGCCAGAGAGACATGCTGCTCAGACAGGTGGGCGTGCTGCTGGGCGTGCTGGACAGTGACATCATCGTACGGGAAGTCAGCGCCTTCAACGATCACAGGTCAGCTCCTTACCACTATATCTTCAATTCAACTCACTCAACTTTATTGCCACAATAAGTTACTATATTGCAATGTAAGTGCAAGAACACAGGAATACACTCTTTCTCTGACATACATTCTTTCTTCTACACATTTTAGCATGCGTTGTTTTGGCCCATCTGACTCGGATTAAATCCATCGATAACAATATTTGGGGTTATATGAACAATGTGTAATAAAAAATGTAACCACACTTACAGGGTGTGGACATGAGAGATTATTTGTTACAAAACTAAGAGGCAATGGTTATAATTACTAATAATTAGTCATAATTAGGCTGGTTGAGTGAATCTATTAATTTGTCCTCAGCCTGAGCGAATCTATTAATTCCTTCCCATCTCCATTCCTCTCCTCCTAGTACTCGTCTGGTGTTCTTGGTGTCTGGGGGTCCGGGTCGCCCCCCTCTGTCGGGTCACAGTGTAGCTCTGGGGCTACGCAACAAACTACGCAAACTACGCAAACAGAAAAACGACTTCCTCATCTTCAAGGCACAGCGGGTGGACACAGTCAGTGAGTATCCAGACATGAGAGAAAAATGACATGGATGGAGAAATGTATTAGGACTAATGAATTGGAAGTTCATTTCCATGAAAAGCACTTATTGAGAGTTTGCTGTGAAATTAAACATGTTCTATGAATTAAATTATTATTTTATATTGTTTTTACATTTGTGATATTTAAAGTATGGGCAATTTAGTTTATTTTGACTTACCCTTACCTCTTTTCTAACTTACAACTTCAAGTTTGGCTTAATATATTTGTTTTATTGTTCTCCAGTCTAGATAGACTAGTCTTAAAAGACAGTTAGGATAGGTTTGTCGTCTTTGACCAAGAAGATGTCAAGAAGACTCTAGAAAACCTGTGGCCTAACTGAATTAAAAGTTCATGTCTCTAACGTATCTCTCCCCCTGCAGTCTGCCAGCTGAACTGCTCCAGTCACGGGGATTGCGACTCATTCACGCGGACCTGTGTCTGCCACCCATTCTGGATGGAGAATTTCATCAAAGCACAGCTGTGGGACCAAGAGAAAAACTGTGGTGAGGAGCAGAGTGGACACTCATGAAATTGAAGATTATGACATTATACATTAGGATACTGTGAAGACTCATGTGACTGCATGAATTTACTTCTGAGTATGACACACAGTACAGAACGTTGTAATGGAAATATCAAGAGTGGAAAGTGCTGAATTCAAGCGTTCTCATTCTGACAACCTGCGACTTATATTGACCCTCTCTCTTTCAGAATGGAGTGTTCTGTATGTGACCATAGCATCCTTCATGATTGTGGTTGCCATCGCGACAGTTGTTTGGGGTGTGGTGTGTTGTTGCCGCAGGTAAGAATGCCACTAACATTGAGATTTACATTTTTATATTAATATTATGTTGCTTCATTTACATTGCATAGCGTACTACTCTGTTTAAATACATGCTTGTTGTCCATCCAGTAATGTGTAATAAGCACACTGACAGGAATGTGTGTCTTGAACAGGCGTAAGGGTAAAGTGCGCCACAAGAGCAAAAGCCGCTACAAGATGCTTGATGGTGAAGAGCAGGACAGCCTGGAGCTACACCCACCCCGAGCTGGTAACACACACACACACACACACATTACCTACTCTCTGTCCCTTATTATCTTAGAATATGTCGAGCACCGCAAATTCCTTTCCCTTTCTCCCCCACCAGGCCGAATGAAGCCAGCCCCCGCCCCCTCCTCCTCCGCCCTCATGCGCTCTGACTCTGACTTGGACAGTGACGACGGCCAGGGAGGGGTCCCATGGGCAGACAGGGAACGAGGACACCTCCTCCGACCTCAGAACGGAACCCTGAGAAACGGCCAGGGCCCCACCAGGAGCAAAAAGCAAAGAGAGGAGCTGCCATAGCAACAGAGGGTGGTGGAACACCCCTCCCCACCCCTAAACCCTCACCACCCACTCTCTTTTGCTCTTCTCCACCACACAAACCATACACCTCTCCACCCATAGGACACTCAAGACATATGGGTCCTGAAGAATGAGAGAGAAACCTGTTGGGCACAGGGTCAAGCCTCCCACCCACACACCCCCATATTGAAACTTCCCTGCGCCCACACTGAGCCAAGATGAAGGAAATTAGGTTTAACCTTTGAGAAGGACAGACCATGTAATGGAAAAATGGGGGGGGGGGGGGGGGGGTTGATAGGGGAATGAATGGTCAGAATGTCAAGTTGAGCGCTGTTCACCACTGAGACACTGAGAATGTACCCCCCCCCGGAGACTGCAATTGAAGACTAGACTGATCGATCCTGTTCCCTTCAGACAGTAACTTTACTCCACTCCAATGTCATGTGTATCACATGGAAACTGAGCCTGTCACACACACACACACACACACACAGAGAAGCTCTCTGAGACGCATACTTCTTCCCAGGTTGCTTGACACAACACACTTCCAATTCCAAGTACTGTTAGGCAAAACCCAATGCTGGCCAACTCTACTCTGACATAGGTTACAATATGATTGACAAGTGACTTGTCTAGATGAAAACCAATCACGATATCTGTGCATGAGAGCACAGTTGCGGTATGTATTAATGTTTGAATGGTGGTTAGGTCTGCATGAGTTATCCATGTTGTGTGTGCCCAAATGTGTATAAAAATCTGAATATGCGCGCTTTTGGTCATTGTGCCAAAACGTCTTGTTTCAGAAAAGCGTTGTGTGTTTGACACTTAACCAGCATTGAGAGTCAAAACTGCTACTGTTGCTGTCAGCCATGTTGGTCAGAGTCAGAGGATCCTGGGAAATGCTGTTTTTTGAGAGCCATGCCTCATACTGTATGAACTCACTGGATGACACACTGGACTACACAACGTTGACGCCCCCACCCCTATGACTGTGTCCCTGGGAGATGATGATGAAGACACCAATGACACATGGGGAAGAAAGGGGTAATGCTTCCTACTCACTCACCTCAGACACTAACGACTGTTAGAACCTGGAAGACCACTTAATGTCTGTTTTAAGTTTTATTTTGCCTAATCATTTTGATTGTGATGCACTTTGTTTTTCACTCTCACCGTGGCACTGTCTGTCTGCATCTCTACTGCTCTCACAGGCTGCTAACTGAACAAGTGTTGATCCACACATATTGAATTTATTCAGTTCAGCCGTAGATACAGAGTGGGACTCTCCATTGCCCAACATGTACCTCCTCCAAACTTGAGTGGTGTTGTCACTTTGCATGTAGATTACTGTGAACCTGACCCTTCAGTCTGACTTTAGAGTTACTTTTTTGGTTGTTGAATGTTTAAGATGAAAGCCCCCGATCTAATCGGAGGAACGCTCTGTGAAATAAGCAATCATTTTTTCCAAAACCTTTCTCAGTGCAAAGTCATCTCATGCTATTCCTCCATTGCACTAGTCGAGCACATTTTATGAAAGATTGGCAGCGTGCATTCTGGGATATGGAGTCCTCTGTGAAGGCAGACAGGGAGCAGCCACAAAATGAAAGGATTCTGTGTTCATTTAATTGTTAAATAACAATACTTTTAGTGAAGGATTCGCCTCACTATGTGACCAGACCTTATGAAACTGGATTATCTGTAAATTAAAATCAAATATGTTTTAATTTGTCCACCTTTTATTGTCAAGACTCCCAAAGTCTTTTAGACTTTGGCTAATCTAAAACATCTGCAAATGTCTACAAAAAATCCTGATTATTCCAGGCACAACAAGTCTTTAGCTCTCTAACCCAGGAGAGACCAACTGTGACCCTTTGAGAAAACACAGCAATGACATACACTACTACACATCTATCTATTCTATTGCCACTTACAGATTTCACATTCTCTTTTATGGCTGACCATTACTGACCATTACTGACTGTGTTTCCCCTTTAGTGCTTCATAAAACTCATTGATGAGATGTAGCCATCTCAGATGATGTTGGCCGCCTGTGGTCTCATTAATGTCATTCCGCCTGCTTGACTTTGATCTCTCCATAGACTAGACAGGGTGCAGCGTGTAAGTCTGTTTAATCATCTCACCACTGAGTGTTGACCTAATGGCTTTGAATACCCACTCAGTAATGAGATTGAGAGTTGAAGAGATTCTCTGGTACTTTTGTATACTTTTTAGCCAGTAGTTCTGAAAGTAGCGCTCATGAGCCAAAAGTGGTCCCAGAAAATGGCATACTACATCACATATTTACATTTTACACATTTAGCAGACACTCTTATCCAGAGCGACTTACAGTTAGTGAGTGCATACATTTTCATACGGGCCCCCTGTGGGAAACGAACCCACAACCCTGGCGTTGCAAGCGCCATGCTCTACCAACTGAGCTACAGGGGACTATGTGCAGAAATGTGCACCACGTCATTGCTCTCTCTCTCACTCTGCTATGTGTGCATCTTGCTAGCTGTCACTCATGGTGAGAGGCTAAAGCTCATTGGCTAGAACTCAAATTGCTAGGGAGCTGGTCTACGTGGGGGAAGATGTAGGGAAAATGGCGCAGCACAGCTTCCAGAAAAGCATTTGCTTTCAAACTAGGGATTTTGTGGCTGTTTGAGGTAAAACAGTAATTCTGCTTATAGATGATGCATGTATGAACTACACATTGACACATCCAGCCCAAAGCAGGAGGTTTAAAAAATAAAGAGTAAAAAATAGTTAGTAGTCGCCAAAGTTCCAGAGCATGTCTTTAAATCTAACTCCCATCAGAGATCTGAATGGGCGGGCTAAAAAACAAATTGGTGCTTGAAAGTATCAATTCTACAGTCTCTGATCACTGTTATTTGGATGCAAGGTGATTTGTAGATCAGCCAGTCTGTTGCTAATACTTTTAAACACTGCCATTATTTCAGTTGGATTGTGTCTTGTTATCCCCTAACCTGAAACAGAGAGATGTTCAGATGAGAATTATGGGGGAACACTGTGTTCAACTATTTTGATTGGTTTGATTTAACACAGACTACTTGCAACCAATTATGTTTATTAACCCATTTGTTGCAACCTATGAAACTACTAACACCAAGCAAATCAGTTCATTAATGGCAGTCAGGGGACTGGCTGTTATACTGAGGAAATATATTTGCTGGCCGTTATGGCAGCATAAGCTGAGAAGGGCAGTGGGGATCTATAGGCTGTATGTGTGTTTCTGGCGACTGGGTTTGAACCCGGGTTCAACAAGACTGTTGGCCAATAAAAAACATTTGAAAATGAAGCTGACTATCTCGATACCTTCTGATCTTAGACCTGACCTCTTCAGGTTAAAGGTTGGTCATCACACTGCAGGCCTCCTCTCCACTTTGACCCGTGATAGGTGGCATCAATTGACTGAATCCGGATCACGGCACCAATGTGACTGTCTAGGTTTGAACTATGTTGTCTGTACACCACAAGACTGTTAGCCCACTGATGTAAAGCCTAGACATTGCTTCGAGCCGTGGAGCTAACACAAGCCTTTAGGTCTCACTGGTAAGATCACTCATCATGCCAGTGTGGTTGACTGAACCACCTCCATTACATAGGTAGTCAAAACTGGCCCCAAATTGTTCTGACTGTTACATTGTGGTGAGGCTGAGGGGTAGAGTGAGTATGGGACGTTACATCAGTAGGCCTACCCTACTACCAGATGCTGATATACAATACAGGGTGTGTTCGTAAATTCAATCTGGAGTGCCAGAGTGCGCTCTGGGCGTTCGTAAATTCAGAGCGTTTCGCGATCAGACGCTCTGGCCGAGGAGTAGGGATGTTCCGAGCGTTCTGACCTCACAACAGCAATCAAGCTAACGTTGGCTAGCTACTTTCAGACACAAATGAGAGAACACCTCACACTGACCATTTTACTTGCCCTAGCAGAGCTGGTTAGGCTGTTTTCATGTTATCCAGAGCGTTGGTGTCTGTAACTGTGCTGCTGTCAAAAAATTTATTTACGCGTTTTTGCCAACGTTTACTGACACCGGCCATATTCATGTTGAGCGTTCGTAAATTCATCAGTTATTTTGCGCTCTGGCACACTCAGACGAGAGTGCTCTGAAATCGGAGTAGATAGCCAGAGCGAATTTACGAACGCATCCACAGTATGACGTTGTGAGCAATTTATAACAGTGATAGGGCATTGAGGCCATACTGTGTCTGGAACAATGACAGATATTTTGAATTGCAATTGAGACCAGAGAGTGGGAGGAAATTTTAATTTCAGAATAAGAGGAAGAATGTGTTTGTGTTCTATTTCATTTATCTGCACTATATCTCTCTTGTCCTTATAAGGGAAGGAATTGTTGCGCGAATAAGAGCGGAAACAGCTGGGAACGTCCACACTCATTCCACAGAGTTTCTAAACCCAGAGAGACTTCCGGGAACGCTTGCGAAACAGACCAGGTTAGGGTTTGGGGTTTGAGAAGTCAATGAGAGAAGTGAACAATTCTTCCTTAGTTGTTAATTTTCTCGAAATCTAAAGGCACAACCTAGATTCGAGACAATGTCTTAAGTAGTTGAACATGTTATTACTCCAACCTTGTGAAAGTGGCAAACTGACACGTTTTCATTTTCGTCAAAAACAACTTTATATCGAAGGAGTACCTTTGATTTGACGGCATGCACATGCGCAGTTCGGCACGAGACGACCGTTAGCCACGATTACGTGTTTCTACGCATGCGCTTAGCTAGCCAACGTCGCCATGACATCGCCTACAAGTGTGATCTGGGATTTCTATTGGTGAAGCAGTTTTAGCCTATCTTCATACTGTACTGTCTGTTTTCGCTCATACAGGAAGAATAGGCAGAGCAGTAAGTCTGCTAGCTCGGCACGCTCCCACAGACAATTGACCGTGATTAAAGACCTATTCAGTGCTTGTCCAATTTAGCAGGTAAGGATGAGGTTTTGTTACTCTGTGGGCCTA